ATTTATTAATTTGCTGTAATGTAGACGACTATAAAAGTGGAGGACAATTATAAATACTGCATACCGCTACTTACAAAATTGTAACTCCTTTTAAATTTGTACAATTTAATATGTTACATAAATAATTTAGTGAATAAGCAGAACAATAAATACTTAACACACAATTTTACTGCAAAATATAAGTAAACGTATTAACAATGCTGATTCCTGTATATGAGCTACTTTTTAAAAAGTCTACATACTCTCCAAACTTTTAAAATAGATATAAATTCCAACAAATCTATACTTAATTACTTTATTTTTTTGTAGACATTTTCAATTTCAATTGCAATTTGACAACTCTACAAACTCTCCACTTTATAAAAGTTATAGAAATTTCCGCAAAGTAAAGTTATTATTATTTTAGTGTCAATTTCCAAGCAAAAAAAAATTTTTTAACCAGTCTCCACACTCTCCAAAATGTTAAAGGGTCCCATTTCATTAACAATAGCTATTGGTATACAATTAAGTGTATACCGCTTAAGTGTTGATAGACTTAGGAAACATTTTCAGCAAATTCATAATTTTTACATACTCTCCAAACTTTTAAAATGGATTTAAATTCCAACAAATCTTTATTTAATTACTTTATTTTTTTGTAGACATTTTCATATGCAATTTGACAACTATACAAAGTATCCACTTTATAAGAGTTACAGAAATTTCCGCAGAATTAAGTTATTATTATTTTAATGTAAATTTCCAAGCAAAATAAAATTTTTAACAAGTCTCCAAACTCTCCAAAATGTTAAAGGGACCCGTTTCATTAAAAATAGCTATTGGTATACTATTAAGTGTATACCGTTTAAGTTTTGATAAACTTAGGAAACATTTTCAACACAATTTTTTATAAATTTTATTTATTATTGCACAAAATTCATAATTTCTACAAAATCTTATATTTGTTAATTAATACCTGGATATTAAAAGGGGATATTGAAATATATATATTATGTAACTGTATAAGTAAAAAAATTACTGATACCTCTTGCTCTAACGTAAATTTCTTCACACTTTACGCAGGCTACTTTGAGCTTGCTACTAATACCGTTCCTTTAATACGTAACAACTGAACTCTTAACTTACCGTAGTTCAAATTCCTCGCCACGTCTGCTTTGTAGTATTATTCAAAGGTGTCGAACACAAAAGTCTACCTTTTTGCAACGCCTCGGTGACTTTTGTTTGCTCAATCATTTACTGGGCGTTGCTTTGTACTGAAGTACTACTTTTTAGATGATTTTTAAGTGGCTTCAAAATCAAAAAAATACATATACTGTAATGCCCATTTAAACAAAGCTGTCACTTGCAAAACAATTTTTGCGTAAATAATTTTTGCAAATTTACGCTCGATGAAATTATATGTATGTATATATAAGAGTAAATATATACCGCTCAATGTACCTGTAATCCAACAGCTCAGCAGCTAAGTACGGATTTTCACGCTGTTCAACATTCAGACGCAAATTAAATTGGAATTATAACAAAAGCGCGCACCTCGGTTGCCGAGAAAAACAGCGAAAAACCTCATTTACCTGCAAAAAATAGCGCTTGCAAAATATAAAGGATATAAATAGGAAAAAGGATGTCGAAAGAAAAAAATGTGGAATTAATTCATGTAAACAAAAATCACAGACGCTCAAGTAATTGACCGCTGGGAAATGAACCCATAAAAAATTATAATCGCAAAGGTTGCACGAAAAGATGAAGAAGAAAAAAATCCATGAAAAACTTTTCGTTATAAAATTCTACAAAAGAGGAAATATTATAAAAAATGCATGAAAGTCAGCAAATACTAATGTTTTTATTTGTGTGAGTGAGTTAAAAATTTATTAATCGCATGTCAACAGCAAATGCCAAAAACAAGCAAATTATGAATGTCTAAATAAATTTCATAACACGAAAGCTGTCAAAATAGCAGAAAGAATGTGAAGCAAAATCAAAATACAATCAAACTGAGCGAAATTAGTACCTTTATAAACGTTGGCCAACACCTACCCGTGCTAATTATGGGCGCTAGCCAAGCGGGTGAGCAAATGAGGTGTTAAATATTTCACAACACTGTGGCGTTAGTCGCTTGATGTGACGCTTAACTAATGGCTATAAAGTCAATGGACTTGTCTGGCATTGCATGGGTGTTGCACGCAACTCGACTCGTGCAAATCGCTTTTTAAGCAGTCACGAGAAAGTAAACAAAAGTTCTGCATACTTTTATATTAGCGTAATATTAGCGTACTTTTGTTTGGCAGTAAAATATGAAGAGAGAGGAAAAAGTATTTTTATACAATTTTTTTAAGTCTTTCAGGTTTCGACTTTTTGCTAATGTTATAGTAAAGCCATTGTCTGTATTGCTGCTTGAAACCAAAAATTGTGACCAAATGAGAACTGTCTTATATATATATATATTATATATCTCAGTGGTGGATCCAAGGAGGGGTGGGGGTTTTGGTGTTAAAAATTTCGTATATTTAATATCGAACTAAATTCCGAAACAGAATCACTTTTGCTAATACGTTGCACTTTTATTTATAAAAAGGATATCTGAGGCCACCTATATACGTATAATATAGTAAAAATATGGCGCGGAAATACTCTGCTACCACCGCCAAAGTTTCTTCTTCGTATGTCTATCAGGTCTAAGCAGCCGGGAATGAGTGGAATTTATATTCTTATAAAGGTTCAACTCGCCAGTATTCCAACTTGGTTGGTTCTACTAAAAATTTTATTAAGAAGATCTGCTTGGCAGGAATCCAGTGACCACTCTCAATGCTAATAAACAATAAAGAGGTTGACTAGAAAATTTAGTAGAGTATGGGAAGAGTTGAAGGAACTATGTGCTGAAAGTTTACTGTAAGAAAGCTCATTAATATTGAAGAAAATTAAAACTAAAATTTTATATTATTCTTCAAACCTCAACTTGTACGAATATCTTGTACATATAATATGTTCACCATATAAGTTTTTGAACAATATTTTACCTTAGTATACTGGGGCGCTCAGAAAGAACGAGAAGGTAAGATTGTAGTACTATGCTTATATTGAACAAAATGAAGCGTATGGTACGCTATAAAGTACTTACGTACAAATTTAGAGATATCGAACTAAAATTTGCCTCAAAAAGCTACTCACTTGTCGGAACCGCCGGTTTTGGCAACTGGTTAATCGATGAAACTCAAGTCCTTGTTTTGATAGCATTTTTATTTGATAAAGTATTTTAACGAAATTTGGTCAAGATTATTATCCAAGGAAACACTAACAACATTGAACACAGAAGATAAAAATATATTTACAGCCTGTTATGTTATTAAAACTCATTTCTTTAGGCTCTTATAGCTTCAGTGCAGCCGAAATTAACAATTTACTTGTCTTATATTATATTTTGATTGTCATGATAAATTGTGCATTATTTTCTTATAATTTAAAAACTTCCTGGATCACAATACTTTGTACAATAGTTCACTTTCCTAAGTTAATACAGTTTTTCAAATCTAGCTGTAAAAGAATGTTTTGAAAATGACATTATTGGTTTCGTTTTTTGAAAAGCTTTTCATGTTCTTATCTTTCTAAGAACGTGTCGTTTGTTATGCGTTCCTCTATCCAGTGAAATGCTGAAAGTAAAAAATATTATAAACGATAGAATTGAAAATAAGTCGCAACAGTTTTACCTTCTTCAACTTAACTCTACCAAAGGATCTGGTTTATGCATACAGAAAATAGCAAATTAATTTAACATTATAGGAGCTGGTTTATAATATAGTGTATCAAAAGATCTTTCAGGCTTATTGTAAGTTAATATCATTAACCTATTAAAAAATGTCTATTATTACCAATATGCTTAATAAAAGTTAATTTATGATGTTAGTTGTTGTTGCAACCTCTAATACAAATTACTTAGCCACTTGGAAGCTGTTAATTTGTAGCGACCGCCTCGAATGGTTTCAAGCCATGCAAATGCAGATATTAAGCTATAAATAAGATAAATAGTCTACACCTTTTCAACTAACCACATTGCCATTATTATTAATAAATTAGCTGCAGTCACTAATATTGCATTAGAAGTTTACAAAATTCGGGAAAAAACAATTTGAAAGCATTACTAATTTAATGAAATGATGATGAGTCTCAACGCCGCCGAATAACAGCGATGTCGCGTCACAAAGTGCATGAGAACTGCTGCATCACTGCTATGGCAGCCACACAACAAATGAGTTAATTGCAACACGTTTCGATAGTAAAAATTGGTTATTGTAAAAACGAAGAAAAGTTCCTCTAAAACACTTTTGACATTTAAGCGTTTCTTTCACAACTTCCAACTAATCATGCCGACGAAGCATCGAAGATTAACGAAATGGGTTGAGTCAGTCAACTGAATTGCTGTCAAAATGCCATGCACAACTGATGCAACTGCTTAGTATGCAACACACACGTCGTCATTCTCCAGCTCCATTTAATAAGTTGCGCCCCAACTCGAGTCCCGGCAACACGCTTTCTTCAACTAGCCGATTTGTTATGCTGTTTAGGAAGCCAGTTAATCAAGTGTGCGATCATTAAAAGTTCACACGCCGATGAGTCATACGCCACAAAGATGCAACAGACACTCGGGAGAATTGGTAAACAAACGGTAAAAAAAAACATATTGAAAAGAATAAAGGTTTCAAAATAAACAGTTGGGCTGAAATGTGATACTGGCAAGAGATAGCGATCAATGCTTGTTAATACAATAGTTATATGTATGTGTATGTAGATATGTTTAAACCGGCATCTACAATAAATTGGTTTTACACACATTTGTAGATTGTAACATCGTTTGCTTACCTTCTCAGTAGTTCCAAGCTGCGAACGCGCATCGCTCGGCGCAGCAATTATCAACATCGGTCACAGTCATCAGTCAATGTACGCACCGATGAGCGGCGATCTCGTCAAATAATTATAGAACAGTTAGACCGAATTAAAGTGAACGAAAAATGTACGAAACACCTTCACTTCGTATAGTCACACTGCTTGCCGATGGTGGTGACTACACTGTAAGGAAAAGAGAGCAAGGCTTTCTGCAAAGCATTTTTTAACCTTAGAACGATCCGTATACTTTAATTTCAAAGAAATTTATATTTTTGAGCCCTACAAATGGATTTAAGTTGGAGAAATCAAAAATAAAGTTAACAGACAGTTATGAACTCTGTGAAAACTAGTAGCGAATAAATATTGCTGACTTTGAATCCGAAGAATGCAGTAGTAACATTGTAGTAGTAGAATATCCGTACAAGACAAGGTAGATAAGCTATCTATTGACACAGCTGATTTTATTGAATTTTCTCGGAGCCAATTTCACACTTAACTGCTTTACCCTTATAGATTTCAACACCTAATAAAGTAGAGCTTGTTTGTAAAATTAAATTTTTCGAATAGTTTTTGTTTGGTGCCCTATCGAAAATGAAAGATTGAAAACAAAATTTTCTGAATATTTTACTGTTTTATAAAGGGTAAAAATTCAGTTTAAGCAAAACTGAAATTATGTGATATGCATGGAGAAGGTGTGTTGACGGAACGTTCAAAATTGGTTTGCAAAATTTCGTTCTCAAAATATCTATCTTGAGGATGGGAAGCGCAAGAGATCATGGTCTAAAAAGACCCCATTATTCTTCAGAATTGGCACCATGACACTTGTGCTTGTTCCGTTCTCTGCAAAATGTTTTGGTTGGGAGAACCTTCTTCTCAAATCGAAACGTCAAAAACCATTATAACAGTTTTTGTCCTCCGAGGATTAAACATTTTGTGAAAGTTGAATCAATCTATTGCCGGAAAGGTATTGGATCAAAATGGATAAAATATAATTTTATCAAATGTGCAATAAAAAATCGTTTTCGAAATTACTTAGTGAACAACTCAAATACTATTTTTCTAGAAAATATTCTGGGTAGCCATATTTAATGGTCTTTTTATTGCAGGAACAGAACAGAAGATTTTACTTCACGTTTTCAACGACTTTATAAACAATCTATCTATGAATTTTTCCGGAAAGTTCAGTTCAACTTTCTACGAAGAAAAATTTTATGTTCGACGACAATTGAGGCATTTAAGTTCAGTTTCTCTCTTTCTCTCTCTCTTTATATTGCGATAATAATATGATGCAACTTAAAATATGGAAAAAACACCACTTTCTCATTTCACTTATATGAAATATGAGGTATTTCTATTTCCTCATAAATAAAGAAATATTCAGAAAATAAAACAGAATTGGGTGACAAGGCGCTCTATATATATAATATATTTTTTATTTCTCCCAGTGTAGTAAGTGTGTCTCATTTGATCCACATGCTTTTCATTTGAGCACATGTGTAAATAAACAGCAACAATGACAAAGATATACAGCATTCGCTTGAATGTGGGCACAAAGTATTTGTAGCAACAATATGTACACTACAAATATTACCCTAAAAAATAAATAAGTAAAGAAAATTCAATTAGCAACGCAAACAAATCGAACGATCCCGACACAGATCAAATACTTTGGATCGCAGTGGATGAGATGTGTGGCAGAAGAATCACTTTGCATGTTGTTGCTGATGATCAAAGCTGACTAATAGGCTAAATTTCATCAATTTTCGTTGGTTTCTATTTGTTTTCTGCATTAATATTCCCACATTTAACAACCAAATGAGAATTTTATTATTTGCTTAAGGAGGCTTTCGGGCTTTGAATAAATAGCTGTATATAAATAGGGAAATATGATAAAAACATAATGCAAGGCATAAAATTGTAGCGAGTGGCTATGCAAATAAAATTGTTTAAGTTAAATTTTGTAAAGATTAAGTATATTTCCAGCGATGATTTCGGGATCACGAAAATATTTTGTGCTAAAGCTGTTAGGGATGAAGGGTATTCTGCAATTGATTGCAGGGTCATTCTCCAATTTGCTCTGTTCCTTAGAAGAGTTTTAATCGCAAATTTATAAACTTTTGATTTTCTTTTTTAAATCACTTCGGGATCAATCCCGATTTTTCGGGATTTCCTTTTATTATTTGTATATATATTTTTTTTGTCAAATAGTTTTTTAATTTACCATATTTTATATTTATAAATTTGATTTTGTGGAAAAATCCCTATTTGATCAGTCCCGAATTTTCTGAATTATTTTTAATGCTATGTATAATATATTTTGCATTAGTAAAGTTTTGGTTCTACGCGAATACCACTTCGGGATCAGTCCCGATTTTTCGGAATTCCATAAAAAAATTTGGAAATTGATCAATAATGCTTTATCTGCTCTTACATACACACACATATGTTACATATCTGTTTATTTAGTAGCAGTATGTAAAGTGATATACGGTCTATGTGCCACACCGCGGTCATTGCGGTCAACAAAAAGTCGTTACAAAAGTATTTTTTTTTTTTATTTCGATCATTTCTTGCATCTCTTATCGCTTACTTGCATCTGTTAACACGTCGCATACAATCATCTGTTGACTGGTTGACTCATTATACACCTTTTCCTCCAAATGTTTACATACGCCATAGCAGGAACACATCGTGTACCTATTCGAACACAAGTTATATACACGAAAAATTCAAGTATGGCGAGGAAAAACAAAGTTTTGTACGTATTGCGGCACAAACGGCGGCTAATTGACATTTGTTAATCGTTTTTCTTCTAACTATAATTGTTGTTGTTTTTTATTATTTACACGAAATAATTTCAGATCACCCACAATGACCAGTAAACGATGACGAAAATGCCTTTAGTGGTAATGAGCGGTAAATAAAACATAATAACGTTCAAGTATTGTATTTCTTCTTTCTCTACTTGCATACTTCTTGTTTACCATTAATTCTTCCAACAACCACAGGTCATTGTTTTCCCAAAACTTTATTCCATTCACTCCGTTTAATATCATCATATTATATTTTTTGCCCTTTGATGACTAATCGTCAACAAACTATTCTTTTGACTGCTCCGCATACAAAGTGTTCCAACATTGCTTTTGTTATTGGCCCCACAGTCTTGTTTGCATTTTCCGATTTTTATCTCACGCTCAGCCAACGACCGGATACATAGTAATGCATGGTAATTCTCATCAATCAGTTCGCATTGGCATTATGAATTTTTTATTAGCATCTACTTTTTGTTTACTTTACCGTGCTAGATGATTATTTGCTTTTCGTATTGTATTATTCCACATTCAATTTCGTATGTGTGAGGTTAATTATGCGCGGATAATTGTAATTTGGTTGTACGGAAAGGATTAAGTTGATGAAGGTGGCATTAGAGTCAATGATCGGGAAATAATTGAATTAAAATACAAATTTTTTTTAAATTTTATCTTAAAATCTTTATAAGAATCCTTAGTCAGTTTGTTAATATTTAATGTGTTAAACATCAAGTGCTGAGTGTGGTTCTCCACAACTCTTTGATGAAAAAACTTTGACAACCAGATCAAGTAGGTTATTGCGGCGGTATATAAGTTAGCATGTGTGTATTCTCGAAACTACTTATATTTAAAAACTACTTACAAAAATGTATTATTATCCCGATAAGATCCTATTATAATCAAGACTGGCAAGAGGATACACCAACAATAGCAACCCCTAACCCTAAAATGTAAGCATTAATTTCACTTAACACGTATAGGTGGATCGTAAATATATTCGAGTACAATAAAGGATTTTAAAAAGGTCTTCATTATAAGAAACTTAACTGAGGTTATAAAAACTATTAGGCCTCATCTTTTAGCTACTTGAAATCAAAATTAATATCATTATTTATTTTGTCGCTTTCAAAGAAATCCCTACCAGATGCAAAACACTTATGCCAATAATTTTTCCAGTCCTGAAAAGACTTTTGATAAGCACTTTTGGAATGGTCTTCAGCGAATTTTGTTTTATACCTTCGAACCACTGAAGACGGATTCCACGGAGTGGCAATTTCAGTTTGAGGAAGAAGAAAAAATTCGACTGAGCCAATTCTGATGACTACGGTGTTTGATCGATAGTGTTCATTGAGTCACAATCGTGGCTCTATGCGAAGGTGCATTAGCATCATGTCTAATCCATGAATTGTTATTCAACTACTCCAGCCGTTTTTGACGGGTGTTCGCATGCAAGCACCTCAATACGGACAAATACAACTCCTTATTGACCGTTTGTCCCTCAGCAATAAATTCGTGATGTACAAAAATCATATCAAAACAACAGTGAGCATAATCTTGATTTTTGAGCGACTTTGGCGTGTTTTTTGGTCTCGGCTATTTTTTTTTTTCTCCAATCCGTTGGTTATTGACTTGTTTGTCTGTCAAACTCATAAACCCATGTCTCATCGACAGTTTATATGCTCTCCATGAATATTAGATCAGAATTCGCATGATCAAACATGTCCAAAGGGACCTGTTTACGTCACTCTCTTTGAAAAAAATCTGCATTATCATGACAAATTGAGCACGAACGCGTTTCATTCCCAAAATCATTCGAACGGACTCGCGAGAGATGTCGCGCTCTCTACCCATCCCTCTAATACTTGCTTGACGATATTTCAATACCATGCCCATCACTTTTTTAATATTTTTGTTTATTTGGTTAAAAATACAAAATTTGAGATTTTTTTATCATAATGTTTTACTACCATTACCATATACTTGCCGACGGCAAATTTCCAAAGCAATGTTGTAATATTCCAATGTTTCACTTATTATTTTGGAAAATACGTACCTTTGCACACTCCGAGCCCCCTCCGTTCTATCCCTCTGCCGTTGTGCCTGTTGGTCGCTAAAGAAGACATCTTCATCTTTTGAAAAGGTACTTAGTTTTCTTTAAAGCTAATTTCATCAAAATATTGATGATTTCAATCCATATTCTGTAAAAATTCTTTGCTTAATAATATTGTAGTAAAAAGGCATGTATCAAGTATTTAAAGGGCAAGCCTTTTTAATATGTAATTTATTTGAACAGCACTGATGGATTTAGAAGAAGCCATATTGAGGAAAACTCTATTAGAAGAAATGTATTTTTCATTGCAACGTCGAGTTCTACATATCAATAGTGGGTCGATAAGAGCATGATTGGCTTGGTTCTTATATATCCACTATGTTATCCGGTCTTTACACAATGGAAAACTTCCCATTCCTCGCTATGGTGAATTATTTTCTATGAACAATTCGCTGAAAGGGAAGCTTGTGAAAATCAATAAGGTCGAGGGTTCCATATGGGTAGCACTATGAAATTACCTTCAGTATCAACAAGTTATCGGTCAATAGGGGGCGTATATGATGATTCTAACTATGCTAAATTATACCGCAATCCGAACTTCTTTTATAGGAATATTTTAATTGCATAACGCACAAGGTTATATTGGTTATGATTTTGGTTATCTGTATTAGTTCAACTTCTTCAATTTTATAAATTGAATTCAAATTCAACATTATCGACTAATTCATCAATTCTTTGCTGTACATTGAAATATTATTAAAACAGGTAGAGATAGTTGTGATACCGTCGAAATAATAAAAATTTAAATTAGAAATTTAATAATTTAAATTTTTTTTTATAAAAATTTAAATTTATGTACTACCAGTAATATCATATGTGTTTTTAATTTGACTCGTTTTTTATTTTATACCAGCATTTTTTTAATTTTTCTGGATACAATTTTTTTTATAAAAATTTAAATATATGTACTACCAGTAATATCATATGTGTTTTTAATTTGACTCGTTTTTTATTTTATACCAGCATTTTTTTAATTTTTCTTTTACGGCCTAACCTAAAAATGTAATTAAAAGCTTTTATTAAAATTACACACATTCTATACATACATAAGTATTTAGTATTTGATGAACATTATATTCTAACACTATTAGTAACTATTAATGCATTGTGGCTTTTGGTTTATGGTATAAAATTATTATCTTACTAAAAGGATGCTTCACATAACTCACTTACGGGGCTACCGAATGGTATTGGCTTTCTGGTGCGCGTATCTGAGCTTTTACTCTCACATAACCACATAAAAGAACTGCCCTCCGACCTGGTGAATATGCGTTGTAAGTTGATCAAATAACCAAATCAAATCAAATATGCCTTACAAATAAACAAATATACATGCATACATACATACATGTGACTATTTATATATGAACCGTATATGTACATACTTTGGAAAAATACTAAAATATATTTTGTCTGTTACAATTGAAGCGTTGCAAAAATTGGATCTGAATCATAACGACTTGATAGCTTTGCCCGAGGATATGGGCAGTCTGCGCAAATTGTTATGTTTATATCTGCAGCACAATGATATAACGCAATTACCCACTTTCGAGGGTTGTCAGAATTTGCAGGAATTATACGTTGCCAATAACTTAGTTGGGGTGAGTAAGTCACATATGTTCATACAGTTAAATCTGCAATCAGCCTAAATGTTGGCTAACACTTACTAACGTTGTGAATATTTGATTTTAAAATTTAATATGCTCAACGCCTTCTTTTTTTATTTTATTTTTTTTTTTTAAGAAAAAAATTTTAATTTTTTTTCTTGTAAAATTATTTATTTTCATATTTTTTACAAACTGTGCTATTTTTCTTTTTAGAAATTACCGGAGAGTTTTTGCTCAAACTTGCCACATTTGAAAATTCTCGATTTGCGCGATAACAAAATTACGAAAATTCCGGACGAAATTTCGCTACTGAAAAATCTCATTCGGCTCGATCTTACCAATAATTCCATAAGCAGTCTGCCCCTGTCGTTGGGCTCATTAGCGCATTTGGTTAGCCTGCAAATCGACGGTAATCCCATCAAGTCCATCCGTCGTGACATACTCCAGTGCGGTACAAATCGTATATTGCGTACATTGCGCGAACGTGCGCGTGCTTCNTTTAAATTTTTTTTATTATTTACTTTTCAAATCTTAAATAGTGATTGCGTGAAACTTCAAAAATTATTGAAGACATCACCAAAATGCCGGAAATGAAATATTTGGGCAGTCTATGAACAAAAATTCTTGTTTTTGTAGATTTTATAAAATTGTTTGCTTCTGTATTTTGTTTCAATATTTTTTTGTTTTCTGTTTCTGTTTCTGTTTCTAGATATTTATTTCTTCTCAATTCAATATTTATTTGCTTACCCCTTACCTTTCGTAAATTTTTCACAAAATATTTAAATTTATTGCGTCTTTCAAAAAAGCCTCAAGTTGTTTCACCGTTGAAGACTTTTAGTCATTAATCAATAAAACCAGTTCATATGTCATAGCAAAAAGGCAACCCTTTAAGACACACACACTTTCATGCAGTTTCATGATGCAGCGATGCAGAAGTCAACGCGGCGCAGGCAATTATGAGAAGTTGCTTAAATCAACAAATGCCACACGTTAATGTGGCAATTAATCACGAGCATATTTATTTAGAATACCGAAAAATACTCCTTGAGTGTGTGTGTGTATGAGTGGGGGGAAAAAGGTGTACAAAGGATGTGCGAGCTAAGCTTTGTGCATAAATAATTACCACACGATTATGGGTTGAGCGGAAGAACGGGCAGGCGGGCACAGTGAAAGTCGTTGTGGTTGTGGTTGAAGTGGCGAGTGCTAACGGTACTTGCCAGAATACAGAAAAGGCGCTGATGCATACGTCAATTTTAGGCGCTTAACCAGCGCGAATGGCAGTGAATTTGTAGTATACTTTTAGGCTGTGTATAGCGAGTGTGTTAAATTAAGCTAAACCTGTGGCTACATAATTCATCAAAAAGTTGCTGCTTTTGGTGTAGTGAGGGTAGCATATTCAAACATTTGTTTATGTTTACATTAGTGTCTGAAGCGCTGCGCCTGTTAATGTCGTTGCGTTGAAATTCACGCGTTGTTAACTCTTTCGAAAGCGCTAACTGGATTAAAAGTATCATAGCAGAGAGGCAGCATTTAAAATTAACACTTTGCAGGCATATATTTTGGTCAAGCAAGCGTGACATTTTGAGTGAAAATCGCGTTGTGGCGCACAAAAAGGGTTATGTAAGCCATTAGCTTGGCTTTTGAGTGGTTTATGGAATAAAGCATAGCTTTGGAGTATGTTTTAGCAGACATATCGTAATTGCCTTCAACTGTCGATTTAAGTGGCATTTTTAATGCTTTTAACGTGTAAAGCGGGTGCAAAAAAATATTATTTTTGATTAATTAGGAGATTAAGTAACGGTACTAAAAAGGGGGTGGATAATACATACAAAGGCCATAAATATTATTAAAAGATTTTTGTGTGACCCCAGCCCGGGCTTGCAGACTTTGCACTGAAAAGGATCGCAGGACAGTTCGAATTTCCATTGCAAACCAGTCACTAATCTGGTCAATAATGAAGGCTTGGGACTTCAGCAGCCTCCCTAAAGAAGATAGGTTCTGTTTAGTTTCATAGTCCTTGGAGAGTTTCTTTAAGTTCTTGCTATGAATAAATGCCAGCTTTTGAAAGCCAGTTTGGAATATTTGATGTATTTGGTACTGGAATCAGGAGAAGACAAAACCTTCTTGAAGTTCTAGAAGATCTGGTAAAAAGAAATATTATTTTTAAAATTCGAGTCGAAGGTTTTATTTAGCATTATTAGAATGAGCCGATTTAAGTTAAATATATTCCACTTGGTTTGATAACTTTTCATATTAGAAACATAAGCTTTGCTTGAGGCGACTTTTAACTAACTAAATCAATAGTTTTGACTATAAAGTGAATGCATAAAAGCCTTTCCGATAGAACACAATTCCTCCCGCATTGATCAAATGTGGCCGATTAAGGCTGATTACTTCCTTCAGATGATCCAATTTTTGACCATACTGTTTGGGATGAAAAGCATGACAATATTGGAGCAGCCCATAGTACCATAGATGATTTCCTAATCCCACCAATCAAATATCACTATTTTTTTATTATGCCTTATGCCTTATTACAAACGGGTTTTGTGTAATATTAGGTTGTCAAAAAAGTCTTGCGGTATTTTCGCTAGTTGGCACTGAGAGCGCATAGTTCTAGTTTTATTCGTCGCATCGGGTCATGCTATACCTTTTTGGAAAGTTTATTTCACGCACTAATACGCGTTTGATTGGTTGTCGTTTCTATTAAGTCGTTCGTGAGTTATAGTGTCGCAAATATGGAGCATAATAAAGAGAAAATACGGCATACATATTTTACAGTAATACTACGATAAAGGCAAAAATGCATCTCAAGCCGCCAATAAAATTTGTGCAGTTTATGGACCCGATACAGTTTCCATTTACACCGCAAAACGATGGTTTCAACGTTTTCGTTCTGGTGTAGAGGTGGTCGAAGATGCGCCACGCTCCGGAAGGCCTGTCGTCCAAAATTGCAATAAAATCGCTGAATTGGTCGAAAAAGACCGGCATACAGGAAGCATATGTACTATCTATTTTAGAATCAGGACCAAGAACACTTTTACGTGCAATATTCCTGGATTTCTGAAATCATCTATAAGATTTGGATTTCTTTTATTCTAATATTCTGAAACATGTCAGAAATTATTCATATAACGCTCATATCCAGAAAGAAAATGACTTATATTTGAAGTAAGTCCCTTCCGCCGCGGTTATTTAAAAGCAGAAATATTCAATGTTTCAAAACAAAACTTATTCGAAACGAAGTGTACACCGTTGAGGTAAAGTTAGTTCACTAAGTCTTCAAACTGACAGCACCATTTTTAGTCAAGCTAACAAGGCAACAAAAGCGATGACTTACTCAAAGTTAAAATTGCATCGGATAAAGACACTTTTGAAGCGAGTTGTAAGCAAAATGCGTCTACCAAGTTGCCACCATAACACCAACGAAACTAAAGCAACGCCAACAATGGGCAGAGGCAACAACAACAAACGCGTTTTACAACAAAAAATATGTACTTAGCACCCACTGAATGGATCTATATGCAAGTGCAATGCAGTCCTATAGACTTTATGAAGTAATTGCTCTTGCGGCTGGTGGACACACTTGACATTCACTTCGCAAAGCGGCAACAACTGTATAGATGCGCACATAAGTGCAACTGCTACAAACATGTGTAAACAGCAAAGGCGCAATGCAACATTCAATCACTTACTTACGCCAAACTCATCCATCCATTTGGTCAACACCGCGGACAAGTTGACATATAAAGAAAAGTGTGACTGCCGGTGCTGCATAGACAGCTGCGCCAAAGTTTGATGGACGGGTGCTAATTGTTTATGCCAATCGCGTCGGCGCACCACGCAAATATGGCGAAAAGCAGGTAAACAAGAAAAAAAAAAAACGACGGACGGACGGTCGCATGGTTTGCAACTAACAATGGCTGCAGACGCAGGTGCTGAGCGCCTTTGTTGGCATGAAGCCATGCATCCATTCAGTGATTTGTTTTCGCTTTTGCTGGAAAATTTGTGCAGATCTGCACGATTTGTCGTGTATTTTAAGAATTGAGATTTTTTCATAAGCTTTTTTGTTGTTTATATCACATCATCTTCCCCGTTTGTAGTTTGTTGTTGATACTCATCTACTTATATTATCATTTATTAGTGCTACAACTCAATTGTTGACAATTTGTCTGTCATAACATTCTTAATGTAGGAGTATTTTAAAAGCTAGTGTGGTAAGAAAAACATTTCTTCTTGGACATTTCTTCTTCTGTATATACATGAGCTGGTGCCTTAGTGTTTTAGATATCGATCTGAAATTTTGCACGAGTCTTTTTTCACCCTAGCAGCTGCTCACTTGACAGAACTGCTGATATCGGAACACTATAACTTATAGCTGCCATACAAACAGAACCATCAAAATCAAGTTCGTGTACAGCAATATTTTTTACAAGATATCTTTTTCATGTTTTTTTTTTTCAGGCAACGCTACAATCTTCGAATTGTTGAGATCGTACCATTATATGTAGCATATAGCTGCTTTGTAAACAAACCAGTCAAAATCAATTTGTAAACCACAGACTCAGAGGTGCATATGCATTTTGGAGACTCAATTGTGATAGACAATGACAATTTTAGCAACTATTTGGATTAGCCTAGAATCAGAACTCAGAACCAAACCCTCAAACACATTTTTATGAAAACTTTTCGCACAATCGACTAATTGGGAGTGTATTTTATCGTAAAAAAATCGAGAAAAATGTTGAACGATACGAATCACTTTAATTGGGACTGTATTTTTCCTTAAAAACACCAGAAAGTCGTTAAAGATGCTATACAAAAGTTTTTGTAGAAACTGGAAGTTACAAAGAATTTTTTAGTACTAAGAGTTCTTTAAAAAGCATTTAATAAAGAGAGCTTGTGTAAACAAATTCGGCAGCAAGGACAAAGGACCGAAACCAATAGAAAATATGGGATCAAATGTAGATTAATTTCATTTATTGTGTGCGACATAAATTGTATGCAATTGAATACTATCCTTAGCGATATATCTTTGCCAGCACCATTTAAATCACTCTATCGCAGTTGTATGACTAATGTATTGCAATCAACCCAAAAACTGTCACATCCATTTCAATAAACCGAAACTAGTTCTAGTCCTCCCTTAATAATCTACAGTTAGCATTATTATAGTTATTAATAAATGAAAGTAAGTGCGCAGCCACCCCAAAAATTGCGAAAACATCCGATATTTGGAAAATCTGAAAATCACTAAATCCAAAAATCACTTAATTTCCAACTACTTACACACGACTCAATGAGCTTCAATTACACCCACCCACACTTGCCGCAAATGTAATGAGCCACCTGACACATCAATGCATACAGCGCTTGAGAACGAACTGACTGATCAACCGCCGACCAACTGCGATGACTTGCGAAAAATGCTAAGCACAAGCACACCTAGAAGCATAAATAAAGAAATTAGTGTGGCTTATGAGAAGTTGACCGATACTTAAGTGACCCAAAATGGCTAGCGATATTCAAGTACTAGTGTTTGTGGATTTGTTTATGGATATGATAAGCGTGTATGAAATTCATGTAGAGCCACA